TGATGAGCTGTGATACAGAAAAACAGCCTGTGGATTACATATATAAATTCAGTAATAAATAAAATATATCTGTAAAAAGATAATCTGAATAAAAGCAAAAGGAAAACCTTTCTTTACCAATATTTCGTCCTCTGACAGTCATTATCAAGGGGTGTGTGTGTGTGTGTGTGTGTGTGTGTGTATATATATATATATATATATATATATATATATATATATGAAAAAGGTTATAGTTGTTCCATTGAGAGAAAATGTATATTTAAAAAAAAAAAAAAAAAGAGAAACCGCGAACGTTTTTGGTTATAATGTGGATTTGTTTTAGCATATATATATATATTATATTCTTTATATTTCTGCTACACAGGTCTCCAGTCTCATGACATTCCTCAGGCAAATAAAAAGAATAACTTTTCCTTATGTTCTTTTAATGTCTCATTGTTTGTTTCCTGTATTTGTTAGTGACCCTTGAACTCCTTTCTGGGTTGTTGGCAAAAGTGAATTTCTGTCTAAGTGTTAATAAAACTATTAGGTTTGAAATGAGAGCTAGTGATGATAAATGTGTTGATGAGAGATATCTTCCTATCCCTGTGTGCGTGCGTGTTCCCATTAGCCTGCATATGTATATTCTCTCCCCATACTGTCTTATAATAAGGAATCACATATGTGTGTGCTGATTCCAGAAACCCATGTAGCAGAAATATGAAGAATAAAATATCATATATATAATAAAACAAATCCAGATAATGAAAAACGTTTGCAGTTTCTTTTTTTTTTTAAAATATATATATATATATATATATATATATATATATATATATATATATATATATATATATATGTATATAAATAATTTAAAACTGTTTACTTCATTGTCAACAATAATAATTCACCAGTAAGATGCAAATTACAGAGAACCAGTATTAATTGTGAATTCACATGTTCCTTATCCATCCAAATTCGTAAATAGTTACACTGAATATACTACATGACTAACAAGAAGACTGACCACAGCTCGATTAGGTCTCCTTTAAATACATATAGAAACCTACCAAACTATCCACAACATACGCATTAATAATACAAATAGCCTTATCCTCAGTTAAATAAATACTTCATATATATATATATATATATATATATATATATATATATATATATATATAAAATCATTAATGAATAAGTTTTGCAAATTGTTTCAGCAGAAATCCAATCTGTGATACCTTGGCTTTTGAAAACAATTAGCCAGAAATAAAAATCTTGTTGCCAGAATAGTTGTATATATTTGCCTTAGTGTTTTGGATTTGTGATTTGTGTAATTGATAGTGGCTCAGAATGAGAAAATGGAGATCAGAGTTCAAATGCCAGTCAGGTTAATTACATTTACTTACATGTAAATACCCATGGGGAAGTAATGAGTATCTCCACCAACTATAGTTTAAAGAGTAGAACCTGTATCTAGAAAAATCATTGTTATTTTTTTTCTTTTTTTTTTTTTAAGCGTTTCACCCCAAGCAAGGCGGGAAGCCACTAGGATGCAAGGGGTTACAGAAAATTTGGAGCAAGATCAGATAAAGGTGGTAGAAGAAAGGATGAGGAGAAGGACAGTGGATAGATCAAGGCAACTGGAGATGTCAATTGACATTACATTTGAATAGCTGGAGATTATAGCTCTCAGGGAAACTGGAATAGGGAAGGGAGTTCCACAGGTGAGAGGTGCGAGACATGAAGCTATTGGAGTAGAAGAGACGGCTACATTTAGGAGTTTCGACAGTGAAGGGGTGAGAGCGGGATGCCAGCCTTGTAGGGTGCTTGAACTCATGAAGTCTGGGAACCAGCGAATGCAGGTCTTCAGAGAAATTGCCATGAAAGTATTCGTAAAACAGACAGAGAGAGGCAATGACGCGTCTGTGAGAAAGTGACTGTAGACGAGATGCAAGATCAGGGATTCTCAAAACAACTGTTAATGCAATGTTTACGTGCAAACAAATTATTTTTACAATCTGTTTGGCTTTAAATAACCAGCAATGGGTTGATAACTCATAAATAATCGGTTATAGCATTTTAGTTTAAGTAAAAATCAGAATGCTGATTTTTTAAACTGAAATGACTTATCACTATCTCGATTTTTTGGCCTTGTGCCAGACTATGCTAAAGTTAATAAATAATTAGTTAATTTGTTATACAGAAGTCAGAACTGGTTTTCCCCAGATTTTACTTTTGCCCAGACTTGCTAAGTGACTGTCCCATCTTTAAATCATTTGCATTTGTCATGTGGTAAATATTTGAGCAAAAAGTCACACCTAAGAGTTTTGAATGCATTTAATGCAAGGTTTGGATATAGTTTTCAATCTGGACTTTGTTCAAAAGGTTAATGAGTAAATACCTGGAGCCTTTTGTCGAACTGGCTACACTTTGTGCAGATGTAGGCCACTTGCATTTGACTATTTCAGAGGTCAGTCTGAAGTATCTACGATGTTTTTCATTTCTTGACTTTCATCCGACACATGAATTGTTTCAGTCAGTGACATTTCTTTCTCAGTAAAGGAGCTCTGGCCTTTTGCATGTCACAATAGTGAAATGATAAGTTTGGCTAAATTGATAGGAAAGAGGATGAAAGAAGCCGAGGACTTAAGTTGGAACAATTTCAGATTGTCGTGATGTCTAGAACAGTTGAAGGCAGGATTTTTCATTTGGTGATTTTACAAGATGAGGATCATTTATTCACATAACACAACTCAGTTTTGCATTTAAGAATGAATTCTCATTTTATGTTAATAAGAAGAATAATTTCACTTCTTATAAATATTCCTTAAATAAGTAAAATTTTTATCTTCTATGCATGTTGGTATGATTTAACACTAGGATGGCCGAGGTGTTGTTTTCGACACCTTCAAATATTCAACAAATTACTATGGAATAACTAGTTTTGGTTCGATGCTGAAACTTATGGACAATTATTGAATTTTAGCAAAGATGCTTAACAGACTTAATTCTTTAAAAAATATTTAGTGGAATAGCTGATATTTGAGGTTTTACCTTGAATGGCCAAGGTGTTGTTTTTGACACCTAGGCTATTTATAGGGTAAATGCATTGAAAAATTTCTCACAAGCAATAATACTTGTGTTTATATCCCCTATCTATCTATCTATCTATACACATATTATATATATATATATATATATATATATATATATATATAATCACTTTCTTTCAGTATGAGGTATACTAATATTTGTGAATTTCTTTTCAGACTTGTTATTCCTGACTTGAATATTGAATATATTAAAGATGGCTGCTTCACGGTGTAATGGAAATAAAGATGTCAAAGGAGCTGGTCATCCTAGTGTTAAAGAAAAATAAGAATTTGCAGAAAAGCCAGTCAGAAAAATTGTTTATAACCCTGGGAAAAAAATTAAAAAATTATTAGCAAAGTGCTGATTAAATGTGCCTAAATTTGTCTGTCTTCTACACAAGTTACTATAGAATTCAGTTCATACTGTATTTAAGCATGTATGTGTTATGGGGTCCACCCCTTTTTCATACAAGTGGACTCGACCAGTATGTATTTGTACTGCTGTCGTTAAATACCCAGAGTTAGACAGTCAGTCAGAGTACAAAGATTGAGATTGAGTTGGAGGTAGAGTAATAGTATGAGGTAACCGCTTGTAGAAGTCAGTTACAAGCACATAGACTCTAAGGAAGTCCTATTTCGAGACAATATATATATATATATATATATATATATATATTATTATTATTGCCACTAACCGCGTTCCTGGATTTACTAACAGTATTACCCATTGTATTATTGTGTAAATACATTTAATTTCTTATCTTTAATTCCTGCGTTTGTCATTCATTGGAGACCGAATTTCATCTCGGAATCCACAACAGTATGGTTCAAAGTTTAAAGGTTAAAAATTTAGTTGGATTTTAGTAATAGTGTTCTGAAATGTGTTTTATATGCTATAAAATAGATTTTCATCATGTTAAAAACATTAAGTTATATAGGGTGTGGCAGAAATACCTCCCACATAATGATAAGACATTAACTAGATGAAGACACCATTGCCACTAATGTCTTACCATTATGTGGGAGGTATTTCAGCCGTACCTTGTACATGATATATGCCATAATTTTTCTGAGTATATATATATATGTGTGTGTGTGTGTGTGTGTGTGTGTGTGTGTAATCAGAGATAAGGATAAACAGCTCCCAAAAGAGTCTGCCCAAGATTGCACACAGGAAAAAAAAAAGAGTGCCCAATGCCATAATAAATGAAAGAGCTTTAATATATTTTAAGTAAAATTTCAATTGGACAGTGACCAACCATGACTGCTAGTTTCATGTGCTTTCACACAATCGTCAGACAGTTGGTAGCTATAGTTTGTGAAAATAAAAACTCTTATATCACTAGGCAATTCCAAGATGGTAATCCAACCATGCTTGGCAGGGGAAGGGTGACTTTAGTGGACTGGTATTGTTGATCACTTTTTTTTGCTTGAAGCTGTAAGCTCATATGCAGTGGTGCTATTGTTCCCTATGACATTGAGCACTTTTTTGCCACACTGGTATAACTTTTCTGGTGGAATTTTCTATATTTTTTTTTTTTTTTTTGGAGTGGATTTTTAGCTACTTTGATCTTAGCCAGATAAGTTACCCTCCCCCTCTGGTAAGTTTGGTTGGCTTACCATCTTGGACTCACCTGGAAGAGTTCCTATTTTCACAAAATACAGCTACTGGCTGCCTGATTATAGCACGAAAGAACATGAAACTGGCAGTCATGGTCGGCCACTGCCCACTTGAAATTGAACTTAAAATTATATATATATATATATATATATATATATCTCAGTGGAGACTATATGTCGTCAATGTTTGCCTGGCTCATTGCAATCTTTAACAAAATATTCTATTGGTATAACTTAGATGATAAAATTATTCCTTTACTTTAACTAAAATATATAATTGTAATTATATAAAAATAAACATTTATTTTAAAAAGTGAGAAAGGAAAGATGAGAGAGAGAGAGAGAAAAGATGAGAGAGAGAGGAAAGAAAGAGAGAGAGAGAAAAGATGAGAGAGAGAGAGAGAAAAGATGAGAGAGAGAGAGAGGAAAGATGAGAGAGAGAGAGAGGAAAGATGAGAGAGAGAGAGAGAGAGAGGAAAGATGAGAGAGAGAGAGAGAGAGAGGAAAGATGAGAGAGAGAGAGAGAGAGAGAGAGAGGAATATGACAGAGAGAGAGAGGAATATGACAGAGAGAGAGAGGAATATGACAGAGAGAGAGAGAGAGAGAGGAATATGACAGAGAGAGAGAGAGGAATATGTCAGAGAGAGAGAGAGAGAGGAATATGAGAGAGAGAGGGAGAGAGGAATATGAGAGAGAGAGGGAGAGAGGAATATGAGAGAGAGAGGGAGAGAGGAATATGAGAGAGAGAGGGAGAGAGAATAATAGAGAGAGGGGAGAGAATATGAGAGAGAGAGGGGAGAGAGGAATATGAGAGAGAGAAGAGAATATGAGAGAGAGGGAGAGAGGAATATGAGAGAGAGCGGAAAGGAATGAGAGAGTGGAGAAAGGAATGAGAGAGCGAGAAAGGAATGAGAGAGCGAGAAAGGAATGAGAGAGCGAGAAAGGAATGAGAGAGCGAGAAAGGAATGAGAGAGCGAGAAAGGAATGAGAGAGCGAGAAAGGAATGAGAGAGCGAGAAAGGAATGAGAGAGCGAGAAAGGAATGAGAGTGCGAGAAAGGAATGAGAGTGCGAGAAAGGAATGAGAGTGCGAGAAAGGAATGAGAGAGGTGAGAGAGAGAAGGGGAAGTGAGAGAGTAGTGATATTAAAAACACAAAAAGGGAGACAAAGGAAAGAGGAGAAAAAAGAAAAACATTTATAAAACTGCTTATAACTTCATAGTATGCTTTTGTCTGAATAATTTGAAAACTGAAAATGTTATTTAAACAAAACACTGAATGGTTTTCTTTCAAAATTTTATTCTGGTAATTGTTGTTAATTAATCATAGCAACAGAATTTGTGGCCTGCCATGTACAGTAAAAAAAACAAGAAAAAAGAAACTTTTTTTTCTTTATTTTTACAACAATGATCAAGCTTCTGTTTCATAGTTCAGATTTGGCAAATAATCTTTGAAGACTTACAGCAAAAATGACTGGCATTCTCTGTGTATCAAATATATACATACAAGGAGAGTGAAATCTAAACTGAAAGCATCCCCTCCCCAAGACTACTTTAAGATCACCTCCCAATACATTAACTAAATTGGGGATGGTGGCAGACTTGCTTCTTTTTGGAAAGTTTCCTCAAGATGACAAACCTCAGGCAGGATCCCGTGATAACATAACCTTTGACCTTAGAGCTGGGTTGTAACAGCATCACAGCTAATCTAATCTGGCCCTCTGCTGAGCCAAAATAATTCGAGATGCTTCCTGTAACTTCCAGGATAAAATTGTTTCAAATGATAGGCAAGTACTTTCATTTAACACCCAGCAACATTACATTATACTGATTAGACTATTACTAGGTCAACACCAGCCACATCATCTAACATTGGCAGGGTTAGGGACCTCCATGATTTCAT